TATATATATATATATATATATATATATATATATACAGAAAGGAAGAGAGAGAGAGAGTTTGTTCGTTAGAGTGGGAGGGTGTTGAAGACGAGGGGATAGCTATTCTCGGAGTTCGTTCGGTATATTTTCCCTCTCTTCCAAATTCGGCGGCGGTAAAACGTCAGTAAACCTTTCTAAATCGCATTGAACAGTACAAAGTATTTCTTCTCTTTCTTATATCATTTGAATTTGAATTGTTTTGTATGCATGTAAGGTGTATCAAAAGTATGAAAGTGTAAATCATATTTGAAAAAGAATTGTTAGAGTGAATATATATATTTATATATACATATAGTTTACTAATAATTCCATTTTATTCTATATATAAAGTAGTGTGTAAAATATTTGTATAGCAATGTTTATCGCTTAAAAAAAAATATAATCAACGGATTTTATTCTTTACTTTATATATATATAGGACGGGTTAGTATAATAATCATAGTCGATTGGAATATGATTTTATGTAAAAAAAATAAGAAAAATTTGATTTTTTCGTTCGAGATTTCATTTTTGAGAAAATCAATTTTGAAAATCAATAAATGATAAAAAACGTGAATGATTGACAAGTATGAATTTGTTATAATATGATTCATAATTTTTAACATTGAGAATAATATGATTCAAGTAATAGAAAAATCTTTTTAAAATATGTTTTTTAATTTAAAAAATATTTTTTTATTAATATAATTTATTTATTTATTTTTTCTTATCGTATTATAACTATTATTGATATGTTGACATTTTCAATAATATTTATCTTTTTTAAAAATTCCAATTTATCAGCAATTCTATAATTTTTCAATCTGACCGTCACGTGTATTAACAATCTATATCATTTGAAATTCTTATCTATTTACTTTAAATGATATTAATTTACTTATAAATCGAATAATTATACGAAATGATATTTATACCTCATCGGTTTAACAATTGAGAATTAACATGTCATCAATGTGTAAGATGATTTTTAAATCGATTGATAAATAGTAAGACAATAGATATTGAAAAGTAAAATTCATAAATGATTGATTCAATTTAAATTATGAAGTGAAATCAAATAACATAATTATAAACGTTATTTTTCTTATTTTTTTACTATATTTTTTTTCCATGTGTTGTGTTTGACAGTTAAATTTCATGAAATATGTAATATAACAATATTTTTTAATGACAAAATTTCTTTTGCATACAAGATTAGACCTTGAAAAAAAGCACATATATGTATCTATTCTAAAAATACTTTGACTCTAATGCACATCGTAATTTAAAATATAGAATTGATTAATTTCCTATTATGTACATTTATATAGAATTATTTATAATATTACATAATCTATTTGATTTATTAATATATATATATATATATATATATATGATTACATTCTCATTATAAATATTTTATCATTAAAGTTATATTTATTGCCGAAATAAAAATTCAACTATAATGATTATATATGTATTTAATTCTTTACGAGCTTTATTCTATGGAATATTTGTTCTGATTTTTCGCTAATTACTATTTTGAATATGTGCATTATCCAAATCTTAAATGATAAAACTTAATTTGATAAATAATTTATTCATATTTTTTTCAATCATAATAGTATTCCTGCTTATCAATCTTTGTTACTTCTATCTTCACGATTCCATTTTTTTCTCGATTTAGGTAAAATATTTTTTCACCTATCTTAAAATATATTACAATTATAGTGATAGTGAATCAGATAGTGACGTGGTTAACACCGATCAAGTGTCTTACGTGTACATCGAAGAATTGATTCATCTGGATTTTATTTGGATTCTGCTTTTCGAGGCATTCAGAGTAAAAATGTTACAAACGTAAGTTTTTATAATTTTATAGCGAGATAAACTTTATTTTATAAATTTCCTTAATTTTTTTATATCCTAAATATCTTAAATATCAAAGTTTTGATATTGGAATTGTCGTGTAAATAAAATATTGTTGTATAATAAAAAATATTCGAAATAAATAGAAATTTTTGTTGAATCTCAAATATTTATTATATATTATAATGAATAAATTTTTTGTTTTCAAAATGTTACAAAAAATTACTTTATTCATCATAAATTTGTTTCAAACAACAAGACGATTGTCATATTTATATAAACAATTCCGTCATTAACGATGAGTCAGAGTTACAACTTGCATAGGGTCACTTGTCAGACATAGAAACGCGAGAGTTAAATATGGATCAAACGTAAGCGTTTTGTCTTTGCTGATAAATATTATGAATATTGCATGATTGATGTCGTCTAATCTCTTTTTTTTTCAAGAATCGTGTAATAATAATAATCATTAGACAATGATTATTTATTTACATTTAATTTTGATTTAATACTTTAATTTTAATCCATGATTTGATTTTGACTCTGTGGTTGTGTTCTAAAACTTTAAAAGTGCCTTATATGCAAAGATTTTTTAATAATTTTTCTTAATAATTTTGTTCTTTCATTGCTCTCTCAATGTAATATTTTTTGGAAAGGGATTCTAATTATTCCAGAAGAGGTTGAACTACAAATTCAGGGAAAAATTCACTATATATACTTGTTGGATAGGAAATTCTGAAGATTTATAACGTAATATTATTAAAGCAAACAAACGATAATGATTAAATATATTCATTGTTTACTTTGTTAAATTAAACAAATCTTATAAAATCTTATAAAATCCATCGTAAATAATTATTTACATTATGTATCTATATTTTATATTTTTAGGATATTTCTTCTCTTGGAATCAAATTTTTTTTAATAAAAGGATTAGAAAAGAGTGGAATAATAATAATTTTTTGCAATATCATATGCGTATTTCGGAAGATGTTCAGTTGCCAGATTTCGAAACTTTCTACGTTATTATTTCTATCATTATAGAATTAGTTGCAGCACGCGGTTGCTTGTCACAATGAAATATGCATTGAGTGGAATGAGTCAACCAAAAATGAGAAAATGAGATGTTTGTCTACATATTTTCTTCTTTTATCTCTTTTTTAAATTCTCTTTTATCTTTACTTTCAATACTTTCAGCAATTTCTTTTTTTAAAAGTTCAAATAAAATTAATTATCCATGCTATTAATTAATTACGAATTTTAAAAATATAAGTTTCATAATGTTCATATCATGTCATTATTACAACAAATATGTATACAAATCCATATACAAAACAGTAAATATTTCATAATTTCATAATCCTCATATCTAATGTTTTCAATAATTTCTATGTAATAAATAGATTTAATTTTAAATGAATCGTATATATTGTATAAGTCATTCCCTTTATATCAGTGATAAAAAAAATAAAGTATAATAAATTAGTAATTCTCGAGAGCAAAAAGAAAATTGTTAAAATCGAATTTGCAATTGAAAATAATTTATCAACAATTTATTTTGAACGATCAACTTAATTCTTGTTTGTAAGTTGGAAAGGAACGTAAGATTCGTGGCTAAAACTGGAATCTTTTCGGAAAAGGAAGAAGAAGGTGACTATTCCATGAAAGGAATCCATGCTGCGATACTTACTATATCGGATGTTATTCATTGCCTACGTAATATCAAGTAGTCTTTTTAAAATTATTACTCAGTTATATGACATGTGTGCAGATATATTTGTATACATATATATCAAATCATTTAATAATCTTTTGTTTGTGTGCATGATTTGTCAATAATTATAAACATGGGTAATATCGTGATTTGCTTTTTCTTTCATTCATCTCTCATTGATCATCTTGCTAATAAAATATTGAAGGAAAAGAAATCATTGATATATCATTATATTATCAACTTTTTATTCTTTCTTTGATTAAAATTGTTTCGTGTGATATAATATCTTATTTTCTCGAATAGAAATTGATAATTAATTATCTTGAAAAATTTTTAAAAACAAAATATCAAGATGACAAGGAGTCAATTATGATTTTATCTATGTTTAAAAATATCTACAAATATAATTATTAGAAGATAAAAATATATATGTATATAATGTAATATATCTGATAATGAAAGTAGTTTATTCTGAAAGGAACATCATGTAGAAAAAAATTTTATTCCGTATCTTCAATTTATTTTTCCAAAGAGGAAAATTAGTATTAAAAATATTTCTCTGTCGTTTCAAGTAATAAGCAAAAATACCGCTTACAAAAGTCGCGTAGTTGCAAGAAAAATCATAACACGGTGTTCGATAGTTTCTTCACTGTTGCATCGCCTAGCATTTTTGTCGACATGTATCACCATGCATACTGAAATATAATATATGTATATATTTGAAAATTACTTGATCATGTCACAGATATCGATGCATTTTACATTAAATTATATTTAAAAAAAAAAACGAGAACATTCGATATAAATGCAATATAAATATATATCCAATACAAATATTTATTATTTTATTCTTCAATTCAATATTCTATTAATTTGAAAATAAAATGCAATTTTATTATAGTTTTTTGAAATCAATTACCTATATTATATATTTAATTTTACGCAAAATGGATCAAATACCTAATGTGGTCGGATACTTTTGTGACCATCTTCAACGTAAGAAACACACACACCACACGCACACACACAAGAGAAGATAAAGTAGAAAGAGAAAAGTAACAGACTCGGGTAGGAGAGGGGAGGACATTGAGCAGGAACGTGTGAACGCACACAAGGTAAATACCACCACCATAGCGCTCACCTTTACCAATGTCGTGTCCCGTAGGAGCGAGCCGGCCGATAAAATGTGCGAGAACGATAAGTCAGTCAAGTGCGAGAACGCAGAGGAAGAGGACGACGACATGTACGAACAAGATTTGCTCGAGGATGCCCAATGGAAACGGACGCAGCAGAACACGTTCACGAGATGGGCGAACGAGAAGCTGAAAACGGTGAACAGACAGATCGATGATTTGGAATGTGATTTGTCCGATGGCCTTCTATTGATCAGTTTGATCGAGGTGCTCGCGCAAAAAAAGCTACCGAAGCACAGTCAAAAACCAGTGTTTAGATCACAGAAGTTGGAGAATGTGTCGGTGGCATTGAAGTTTTTGGACGACGAGGGAATAAGGATCGTTAATATCGGTGAGTGACCAATCTTTCTTTTCATTCTCTTTAATCCTCGTCCTGGCTTCGTTTCGTTCCTCGTTTTCGCGGTTAAAATCTATTCGTTCGAATCGCTACCGCCATAAAAAGTCTATCTGTTTCCTCTCTTCTCTTTGGAGGAACGAGGGAACGAAAAAAAACAAAATGAGAAGTAGAGACAGGGAGAAAAAAAAAAAAATAAGAAAGAGGGCCAAGACGTTTCTTAGAAATTTAGTTTAGTAAAGTGAAATTCGAGGTAGATGATTTTTCTTTCCTTTTTTCATTGTGTGCATACATTTTATGTTATTTGAACGTGCAAAATATACGCGTTTTAGTTGTTAAATTAACATGTTTATTGACTCGTGTCAAAGTATTAACATTGTTTGTTTTGTTCAAAATAAATATTTCATTGACATTGAATGTTTAATAGAAAAAAATGTATTGGATAATTTATGTTTTGATCACAATTATATTGTTTATATTGTAAAAATATGCTTCTGTATTATTTCATTATTGTAATTTATCACCTTAGTCCCGCGCGATTGTTAATACTGTTTATAAACATGTTATTAAGTAAGATTTGCTTGGAGCATAGCTTAAAATATCAGTTATTGTCGATTATTATCGACGAGACGAGAAAGTGAACTGGGAAATTATTAAATTTAAGAGGCAATTACGAGGTTCGAGTTAGTTGTAAAGAAAAAAATGATGTCTTTGAGAAAAAAATTGGATAATTAAAAAATTTATTCAAAAATTTTTCAGAACAATCTCGTTTTTGGTAAAAAATTTAAAAGACGAAATTAATTTCCATACCATCCAATTTAATTGCTGAATATGCTTTGCTTCAATCCTATTATCAAAAAGTTCATGAATTAGTTTATGAGTTCATGAGCATAATTTTAATCAAATAAGGTTGTTTGTTATTTTATATCAATCATAGCTAAATAAAGTACTTAAATCATGGTAAAGATAATGGATTATGTATTAGTGATAGTATTGTTATTGTAATCTATATAAATATTTCAAACGAATATATTGCAACACGCATTGCAAATTATTGGATCTTTAATTCAATATATATATTATAATTTATTTAGTTAACAGTAAATTTAGTTTAAAAAATCTGAAATATTATTTTATATCACTTCATGTAATCGAAAGAAAAAACTACTATACTATTTAATATAATAGTAATAGTTAAGAGATTTGTTTAATATTTTGACTTAAAGAAAATTAATTTTATCATTGACTTTAATAACTTTTATTCAAAAAATGATTATTACAAATTTTATTTTTAAAATTGCTGTTTTGTTAATTACTTATAAATTTATATAGTTTAATTATAAGTTGTTAAGTATGTATTTTGAAAAAAAAATTGATATTTCTGTAGAGTGTATATCTTATCTACATATTTTATAATGAAATAATCTTTATTTATAAAATGATTATAAATATAGAATAATTCACATAATTGCAACAATTTATTTTTAATTGGAATTATAATTATCAATTATTAATATTCACAAATTTTTCTAATTCCATTTTTTTCTAAATACATTCCAAGAAAAAAGATGATTTTTCAGTTGAATGAATCATCATACAGCTATTTTTTTGAAAGGAATATAAATCTTGAGGATGAACTGATAATTAATGTAATTAGGCATGTTTTTATCATTTTTAAAAATTTTGTTTGACATAACTATCATGTTAAAAGTTCTTATATTTTAACGAGTAACGATTAGGTGATAATAAGAAAAAATATTTTTAAAAGTACTTTTATATGATTGATGGTTCACAGTGATAAGATGAAGAGGATGCATTCTTGAATGACCAATATGAAATTGAAAATGTATGTTTGTTAAATAAAATCGAAACAATTTAAATGGATGATAATCAAATAAAATCAGGTTAGAGAAAATAATCAATAATAAAATTTTATGATATCATAATGTAATTTAGTAAATATTAAGTCATAAATTAAGTCATAAATCAATTATTAGTTTAATTATATTTGTAATTATAGTTTTTCAAGTATATAGATTTAATTTAGTTCAAAATCTATTAATAATTGTTCTCATAAATATTTTTGAAA